TGTTCTCATTCATTCCTATGCTTGAGCCCATTGTTGCCATCTCATTGAGGGTCTTTTTCTTTTCCATAGTTCTTCTACTTATAGACATCTATACTCTTGAAATACTTTTTAAGATTTCATCAGTCTATGCCTACATCTGGTTATATAATCTATGCCTCGGTAATAAATTTCCTAGCTCTGCATTGTGCAAAATTTAGGAATGAAGACTTCGGTGTTCAGATACGTAATTCTATCATGTTCATAATATGTTACATGATACAATTAATTAATATATAACATTATTCAAGTATCTCATGTAAAAGTGTGACAGACAGGGTGTTTGACTGAACACATGGCTGCTGCTGATAGAGTATTTTTGTGTGCATGTGTGTGGGCATGCATATATGTGCACATGTGCAGGGGGATTGAGTTTAATCTGGTTGGCACTGAATTCTTAAAGGAAAAATTAAATTATTCTGAAACTCTGGTTGGTCTTTAAGAAAGAGAAACTATGGGAATTCTTGTAGCTGTTATTGTTGAGGGATTTTGATAATAAGAATGCTACAAGAAAGAATGAAATTTTCCAAGAATAAATCATTTTTCTATTAAATGATACAGGAAATAATTAAGTGATTCAAATTCTTTTCTAGCAGAAGAGTGAGTGATGTAATTAATAAATACGTGATAAATTTTTTCACATGTGGGATAGCAATTGCCTTTCTTATTCTTTCAGCTACAGCATCTCTTTCTGTGCCCTCTTGATAGGCTAGCCTTTGCTCCAAACTTTTTCCTCCACTGATTTTTATATTATTTCTCTTCTTAAATATATTATAGGCATCCACTAAAATATATCAGAGCAAAGTGGTTGCAGATCACTGAGCTATTCAGTAGAGAAACTTAAAGCATTCTCTTTATCTGCATATGTATAGACTATGGGATAATCTCTAATTCCAGGATATTAGTAGTAATTTGATTGTAAGAGGTCAAAGAGTTCCATTAGCTCCGGCAGATCAACAATGCCAGAATCTCTTTTTAAATGTTCACACCAATTATCTGGCAAAAGTTCATCAGCTTGGAGGGCAGCACATTCCAAGCAAGTAGAGTTGGGATTCTTTGAAAGTTCTTCCTTGTGCTGAAGAGATATTTTCTGTTATGTATCCTCATTACTTTTAAGCAGTGACTACTGGGATGGTGTTAGTGTGTCACTGAGTCCGTTCCAACTCATAGCAACCCTGCCTAGGGCTTCTGAGGCTGTAAATATGGGGGTAGAAAACCTCATCTTTCTCCCACGGAGCTGCTGGTGGGTTCAAATTGCTGACCAGCAGTTAGCAGCAGCCCAACGCAGAACCCACTCTGCCACCAGAGCTCCTCGACTCTTGGAATTGTATAAAATAAATAAAATATAACTTTCCTCATGAGTCATTTCTTGCCTAAGCTAAACTATTAATGTTCAGTCATTTTAAGACTTCTTTTTGTATCGATAAAAGTATACTTGTATTTATATGGGATTTGGGCTATAACCCTTTGTATATATTACATGTTTGTGAGAATTTTACTGAAACTCCTTTTGGACAGGATTTTCCTAAAGCTAAGAAAACTATAAGTACACATATTCATATAAGGATTACTGGTGTGGGATCAACACTGGACTGCAAACCACAAGGTCAGCAGTTCAAACCCACCAGCTGCTCCTTGGAAACCCTATACAGGGTCACTATGAGTTGGAACCCACTCGATGGCACTCAGCAACAGCAACAACATGCTCATATAAATATGAGATGTCTAAGTGCTGGTGTGGCGCTGTGGGTTAATGCGCCAGACTGTAAAACCATTTGAATTGTAAGGTCGGTGGTTCAAGCTCACCAGCTGCTCCTTGGAAACCCTATACAGGGTCGCTATGGGTCGGAATTGACTTGATGGCACTTAACAACAACAACAAGTGCCTTTGGTTTGAACAGCAAGGTCAGCAGTTCAAGTTCACCAGCTGCTCTTCGGAAACCCTATGCAGGGTGGCTATGGGTTGGAACTGACTCTATGGCACTTAACAACAACAACAGGTGCCTTTTGCTCCTCTCTACTCAGACCCTCACCCAATTAACACAGAATGCTATTCACTGGCCAATTTCTGGAATTCTTCCCCATATTTTTTATACCTTTTGTTCCATATTAATCTCTATTTCTGAGCTATCCCAACAGATTTAAAAAATATTCTCAATTTTTTTCTTATATTTATGACTAAGGATTTGATATTTTATTTTCATGCAAATTTGTTTTCTTTTATAAAATCTAATTTCTCATTTTGAGAATTTTCTCTCTTTTCTACATCAAATTTAAAACTTTTGGATAATGTCTATTCATCTTCATCCTGACCTGTCTTTGTGAAATGTGTTTTATTTTAAGCAAAGGAACATCATAGACCATTATTCTAGTCAAGCTCCATTCTCTCCCACTCTCATGGCTGGCTTTCTATGTCTCTCACTAACCCCCTTCATTTCTTAATTTTCTACAGTTGCTTATAAGAATTGGCAAAAGTCTAATTTGCATAACCCATGCCCCTAAGTCATTTAGTTTATTTTCCATTGTGTTCTGGCCCATAGAAAAAGGATTCCTGGTCCCATTACAATTTTATGCAACCTCATCTAAAATAGCAGGTGGACACAGAAGTGATAAGTCTTGGCAGACTCTGTATCATATCCAGTATGTTGTTGTTGTTAGGTGCCATCGTGTTGGCCTATTCACCTATCAACCCTATTCACAACAGAACAAAACACTGCCTGGTACTGCATCATTCTCACAATTTGTGATAAGCTTGTGCCCATTGCTGCTGTCACTGTGCCAATCCATCTCATTTGGGGTCTTTCTCTTTTTTTGCTACCCTCCACTTTACTAGTCCAGGGACTAGTCCTCTTAATAATATGTCCAAGTATCAAAGATGAAGTCCCTCCATCCTTGCTACTAAGGAGTGTTCTGGCTGTATTTCTTCCAACACAGATTTGTTTGTTATTCTGGCCGTCTATGGTACTTTAAATATCCTTCTACAATACCATAACTCAAATGCATCAATTCTTCTACAATCTTCCTTATTCATAAAGATAAACCAAGATTATAAATGGCAATTTGGAGTCGATGTGACACTTTCCCTGAAACAATCTCAGAAATGACTGGCTTTTCACTGGAATATGATTTTTTAAATCTTAGAATCTGTGACCCTTGATTATACCTACTTATCCTCTTCATTGGTTTTTAATTTTCAAATATGATTGATTTCTCCCTCGATGGGATGTTTGGGTTGCATTGAAACTGTTCAGTCTATCAAGGTTAGGTGAATCTTTTCATCATCACCCACTTTGGGGATTATCCTTCATTCTTCCTTCTGTTCATCAAGATACTAACTACAATATAATAATATATTTCCAATATTCTTAGTGTATTATTGTCACTATTATCTGTCAGAATGTCATCTCATTCTACTACAGCTAAGAAAGTCTCCTTATCTGCTCTTGAATCAGAGATCCAGCTTCTAATTCTATTTAATTCCTGAAGTCCTTTCCCTGTTTCTTTTGGAAATAATTGTTGTTGTTGTTGTTAGGTACCATCGAGTCGGTACCGCCTCATAGGGACGCTATGCACAGCAGAACAAAACATTTATCAACAAATCTCTCATGTCCTTATTTTATTTTCACTGTATTTTTCATGGATTCTTGGCTCGTATCTGAAGACAATGCTTTCTTTTCTGGAGTCTCCTGCAGTGATGACATTTTTTGAGTTATCATTCATACCCTTGGGCTGCTGGTGAATAGACTCTTCTCTCTATGCTATTACTACTTACAAACCATTCTCACTCTTAACTGCAATACCCAAAATTATTTTTATTTCATCAGATAGTACTAATCAATCCTTCTTACCTCCTTAAATTTCAACTGCCTGGGTTATTGTCCCTAATGTAGTCATGACATATAGAGATTCTGACATAAAGGGATCATTTATATACATTATTTCCCCATTCCTCTCTCAACAGGTAGAATTGGGATTTTGATGATGAAATGAAAGGTAATCGCTTTGTGAATAATTGTGGGGCTGGGAAAGTTTATATGGAGAAGAACTTTCCAGAACTGATGTTACAGGTGTGATTTTTCCCTGACAGTGATTGTTCAGATGGGACCGGAAACCTGTATGAAATAGAAAGGTGGAGCCCTCTGCTGGCAACCCCAGGTCGTGCAGCGTCCCAAGCATCTGTGGAGCATCCCAAAATGTCCAGGAACAATCTGACCAACATGTCTGTCCTTCCCTTAAATTGGTCTCACCCCCTATCATGAATCAGTCATAGAACTTCATTCTGAAGTGATTCTCTCTCCTCTTTCTAGTCTCCATCTCCCTCTACTTACTTGTTCATGATTTTAGTGTCTTAGCTTATATCCTACGATGTTCAAACTTTTGGATCTTGGCTATAAATTCCTTGTGTGGAGGCCACAGACAGGCTGAGTTACTAAACTCTTCTTTGTCCTCTGGGTTAGCATGCAGAGGACCTCTTCTTTGAAATTAGAATCTACAACTGTACAATCTCTTTGATATTAGAAATGATACCTCAGACACTCTTTTGAACAGCACCTCTTTTCCACAGATCTTGGCCTATTCTGGCATTTCTGCCTGTCTTTAAGAAGATTCAGTTACTAGGTTCCTCTCACCATCTCTTGGATTTGCTTCTTTGAGAGAACTGTTCTTTATGGAAGAAATAAACTAACCACATGATGCAAATATAAGTTGAAGAATATATATGTTTCAAAAATAGATTTTCTGAGTATTCCTGACCTTACTTCAATGCACATATATATATATCTTCAAAGTCTTACATGAAATATTGTGTATAAAAGCATTTTATGAAACCAATAATTTAAACATAATTGTCTATGGTATAGCTTTTATTATCTATTATAAAAATAAGTATCCAAATGATAAGATTGATTTCCATTCTAATCTCCACTTGTTTTGCTTTCAGTGGGCACCATTCCCAACTACTGTAGATGGAAACTGCAAACTACACAATTGTGACCGAATTCATTATTTTGGGATTAACAGAGAATCCTACAGTTAGTGCCATTTTATTTGTTGTGTTTCTAGGAATCTATGTTGTCACTTTAATGGGAAATATCAGTATAATTACGCTAATCAGATGCAGCCCTCAGCTTCATACCCCGATGTATCTTTTTCTCTGTCATTTGGCTTTTGTAGACATTGGGTACTCCTCATCAGTCACTCCTGTCATGCTCATGGGCTTCTTAAGGAAGGAAATGTCTCTCCCTGTTTCTGGTTGTGTAGCTCAACTCTGTTCTGTGGTTACATTTGGGACAGCTGAGTGTTTCCTGCTGGCTGCTATGGCCTATGATCGCTATGCGGCCATCTGTACACCCCTGCTCTACTCCATCCATATGTCTCCCAGAAGCTGTATTCTCTTAGTTGGGACATCCTACCTAGGTGGGTGTGCAAATGCTTGGACATTTACAGGCTGTTTATTAAGCCTGTCTTTCTGTGGGCCGAATAAAGTCAATCACTTTTTCTGTGACTATTCACCACTTTTGAAGCTATCTTGCTTTCATGATTTTACTTTTGAAATCACTCCAGCCATCTCTTCTGGCTCCATCATTGTGGTCACAGTGTTTGTCATAGCCATCTCCTATGTCTACATCCTCATCACCATCCTGAACATGCGCTCTACTGAGGGCCGCCACAAGGCCTTCTCCACCTGCACCTCCCACCTCACTGCAGTCACTCTGTTCTATGGGACCATTACGTTCATTTATGTGATGCCCAAGTCCAGCTACTCAACTGAACAGAACAAGGTAGTGTCTGTGTTTTATACAGTGGTGATCCCCATGTTGAATCCCCTCATCTACAGTCTGAGGAATAAGGAGGTTAAAGGGGCCATGAGAAAACTGATGGCTAGAACACACTGGTGGTCCTGAACAAATCTAATTTTAATAATAAACTATGTACAGTGAGAACCTCTCTTGTAAGTGAAAGGACCATGTATTAAGTACATTCTTTCATTTTTATTTCTAGTAGTCTATAGTCACAGATTTCATTATTCTCAAGAAAATTTAATGTAAAAAAATAAATGTGGATTCATAAGGATAGAAATATTTAGTAAGAAATGTTTGCTTTATACTTGCTCTATTCACTATTACCTACATCTGTAAGTACAGATATTTTCCAATAAGTACTGTGATCTTTGAATGACATCTTTGAAAATGACATCCATGATCACATCTGAAATTCTTTCAGTAGGAAATGAATAATAATGTGCTATCCAAGGTATCTTCATCTAAAAAATACGGTCTTTATGCTCTACAGACATTCTAAAGATTGAACTCAGTGATGTTGATGGTTAAAAGCTGTTTCTTTGTGACCCAAGACTGACCCAAATGACTCCTTCTGAGGTGCCTCTGCAGGTGAACTGAATCCAGACAACTATGAAGAGATCTGAAGCCCCCTCAGCTGCTGGCTTTTCTTTTTAAGAAATCTTTCCCACAAAATACCTTAAGAAGGACAGCCTACTGTGGGCAAATAGGGATGATCTAGCTCAATTTGTGGGGTGAAGAATTAAATTATGTCAGTGCTTTTTTCCTTTTATACTTCGGACATGTTATCAGATGGGAGTAGTCCCTGGAGAAAGACATCATGCTTGATAAAGCTAGGTTTACTAAGTGCCTTAAGGCTGAGGTTTATAGCAGAGTGAGGCACCCTTTGGACATTTATTAAAGCTCTGAAAGAGCTTTGTAACAATCCCTGAGCAGGGCAGAGGCAAAGGGGCCACATGGCAGAGAGGTCAAGGACTAGAGAGAGCCCTGCTTTAGGATATGCCTGGGAAGAGGCTGTCCTGACCAAATAACTGTGTATTGAGTATTTCTGTTTCTGAATTGTAACCTGCTAACTTGCCTAATAAAGCCCCAAATCATGAGTATGGTCTGTGACCACTACAATTAATTATAGAACCCAGCTGAGATGTAGAGAGTGCTATGGGAGGGATGGTTGGGGTCAGAATTGGTAAAGAGGGTTGGAGAGTGAAGCTATGTCTGACCTCACTCAGTCTCCTTAAGAAGCAGCCTTGGACTGATGTGAAGTTTGATTTTCTTTCCTCCAGGGAAAGAAAGAGAAGGTCAGATACCAACCTCCATGCCATTCTTACAGGTTTCTTAATGATCTATTCTGGAACAGAGTTCCAGGTCTTTTTTCCCACTGAACCATTGGTGGGTTATCACTGCCAAGTTTCCAGTTAGAAGTCAAGTGCTTAACCACTGTGCCATCAGGAATCCTTAGTAAAATACATACAAAATCTATAAAAGAAATACTGCAAAACTCTGATGGAAGAGTTTTATCTGAATAAATGGAGAGGTACTCCATGTTCATGGATAGGAAGATGCAATATTGTTAAGTGCTGTCATATTGGTCCCTACTCATATTGATCTTGTTTAGGGTTTCTGAGTAGAGACTGGTGGGTTTGCACCACTGACCTTGTGGTTAGCAGCCCAGTGTTTATCCTACAGTGCCACACCAGGACTCAATATTGGTATGATGTCAAAACCCCAGGAAGTTACTTTGTTAATATTGATATCCTAAGTCTAAAGTTTATGGAAGGCAAAAGAACCAAAATAACAAGCACAATACTTAAGAAGACAAACAAATATGGAGCACTGACTTCAAGATTTTCGATAAAACTACAGTAACCAAGACAATGAGGTACTGGAAAAAAAGCTGGACAAATAGATTAATAAAATATACTAGAGAATAGAAAAATAGTCTCACACAAAGTCAATTGATCAGTGACAGATTAACAAAGGTACTTGGATGTATAAACTGTAATCTTTTCAACAAATGCTGCTACAATTGATCATTCCTATTTAAAATAACAATAATAAAATCTAGACACTGACACAAAATTAACTAAAAATGAATCTTGACCTAAATGTAAACTACAAAATTTCTCAGAGAATATACAAGAAAATATAGATGACCATGTGTTGGCAATGAGTTTTCAGATACAAAACCAAAGAAAGCTCAGCCTATGGTAGAAAAAATTGCTAAGTTGGGACTTTTAATGAAGTCCCACACAAAAACACACAAAAAAACTTGTGTTTTGTGAAAAATAGTGTTAAGACAATGAAAAGACCAATCATAGACTGGTAGAAAATATTTGCAAAATACATATATGATAAAGAACTTGTTTCTAAAACAAACATACTAAAGCCAAACCCTCTGAAATCAAGTTGATTCTGACTCACAGTGACTCCATATAGGAGTGTGGGGGCTGTAAATCTTTATGGAAGCAGAAAACCTCGTCTTGCTCCTGTGTAGTAGCTGGTGGGTTTGAACTGCTGACTTTGTGATTAGCTGCTCAGTTCTTATCCCACAGCACTATCAGAGCTCCCAAAACAGGACTCTTAAAATTTAACATGAAGAAACAACACAAATAAAAAGTGTATAAAATATGTGAACAGACATATCAGCAAAAAAGAAGCAAAGGAAAAGGTGTTCAATATCATATGCCATTAGTGAATCATATATTGAAACAATCAAGAGATACAGTATATGCCTATTAAAAAATTAGTTGCCATCAATTCTATTCCTACTATGATATTCCATGAGTAACAGAGTAGAACTGAACTCCATAGGGTTTATGAGGGCTTATTTTCAAAAGTTTATCACCAGCCTTTCATCTGAAGTGTCTCTGGGTACTGGCGATTACATACATGGGGGCTTGGGATTATGTATGTGAAAGAACATAACTTTGGTGGACACCTTTCCTAATTTTAATCCAAACAGTGTGCTGTTGGAACAACTGCCTTTGGTCTATGTGCAGGTTCCTCATGAGGACAATGACATGTTCTGGAATACTCATTCTTCACAATGTTATCTATAGCTTGTTATGATCCACACAGTCAAAAGATTTTGTGTAGTCAATAAAGGACAGGTAAACATCTTTCTGGTATTCTCTGCTTTCAGCCAAGATCCATCTGATGTCAATAATGATCCCTCTCGATCCATGTTCTCATCTAAATAGCTTGAAACTCTCTGGCAGTTCCTTGTCATTGTAATGTTGCAGCTGTTTTTGAATTATCATTAGCAAAACTTTACTTGCATATGATAGCCATGGTATTGTAAAATAATTTCCACATTCCATTGGATCTCTTTTTGGAATGGGTACAAATATGGCTCTCTTCCAATTGGTTGGCCAGGTAGCTGTTTTCCAAATTTCTAGGCATAGATGAGTGAGTGCCTCTAGTGGTGCATTAGTTTGTTGAAAGATTTCAATTTGCATTTCATCAATTGTAGGAGCCTTGTTTTCCACCAGTGCCTTCAGTGCAACTTGTTGGCAATGGATTTTCAGATACATTTTCAATCTTCCTTTAGTACCATTGCCTCTTGATCAAAAATACCTGTTGAAATGGTTAAACATCAATCATTTCATTTTGGTACGGTGCCTATGTATACCTTCCATCTTCTTTGATGCTTTCTGCACCATTCAAAAAATTTCCCATGGAATCCTTCATTATGACAAGTCAAGGCTTGAATTTTTTCTTCAGCTCTTTAAGCATGAGAAATATTGAGCATGCTCTTTCCTTTTGGTTTCTAACTCCAGGTCTTTGTACATTTCATTATAATATTTGGTTGTGTCTCCTCAAGAAGCCTTTTGAAGTCTGTTCAACTCATAGTGACCCTGTATATGGTTTCTGAGGAGTAGCTGGTGAGCTTGAACTTCTGACCTTACATTTCAAACTGACCTTGCATTCCAGCACACTAGCCCACAGCACCACGCACACCAGGACCCCAGTCTTCCTTGCAGGCATAATGATATTATCTTATCACAGATAGCATTGTACATACAAATAGATCTTGAAATGTTCTTTTTGATGATGAATGTGACACTTTCTTCCTGTAAGCATCTTGATTGCATGTTTGATCAATTTCAGACTAAAATGTTGGTAGAATTCTTCTGTTTCATTAGCACTGGCTTTATTTCAATTTATCATTCCCAGCATAACAAACCATATGATTATCAGATTCAAATTGCTCAAATCCACTTCAGTTCACTAATGCCTAGGATCTTGATATTTATGCATTCTGTTTCTGTCTTTTTTTTTTCTTTTTACAACTACCAATTTTCCTAAGTTCATTCTATGTTCTGATTATTAATGGATGCTTACAGCTCCTCATTTTGAATTGTGCCCCATCAGCAAACGAAGGTCTTGAAATTTTTACCCCAATTGCATCATCATAGTCAACTCAACTTTGAGAAGGAAGCTCTTCCCCAGTGGCATTGTGAGTGCCTTCCAACATGAGGGGCTCATCTTCTGACACTATATCTGACAGAATTCCGATGCTATTAAAAATGTTTTCATTTTCTGGTACAGTATCTGACAATGTTCGCTGCTAGTCCTAAGGTCTTCAGTGGTTAAACATTTAGAAGTAGTCTGCCTCTCCTACTTCCTAGTCTGTCATAATCTGGAAGCTCAGCTGAAACCTTCTGACCATGGGTGACCCTCTTGGCATTTAAAATACAGGTGGCATAGATAGCTTCCAGCATCACAGCTTCACACAAGCCACCACAGTCTGACAAACTGACAGACAAGTGGTAGATTTTGCCCACAGAATTCTTCAATATTTCAATTTGAGGCTTGAAGTTTTTCCTCAGTTCTTTCAGCTTTAGTAATGCTGAGCATGTGGTTAGCTTTTGGTTTTCTAACTCCAGAATTTTGCACATTTCTTTACAATATTTGACTTGTCTTCTCTAATTGCATTTGAAATTTTCTGTTCAGTTCTTTTACCTTCTCTTTTTTTACATTTACTTTAGCATCTGTATGTTTTAGGGTAAGTTTCAGAGTATCTTCTGATATCCAGTTTGGTCTTTTCCTTCTTTCTTGTTTTTTTAATGACTTTTTGCTTTTTTCCTTTACGATGTTCTTGA